AACATGAAACATCACTATACCATAATCACAAATGGCTCATGCCTTGTGATTAGTTCTTCCACTAAAAAAGTCATCGCTCATTTCCTTAACTCTTCGCTGCAGCTCTTTCGTTCTCCACTTTCTGTGCAAAAATTTTGGTTGCATGCATATTATCATCAATATATTTGGCATAAGGGTGCTCCTTAGGAACCAATCTCCTATACTTCTCAAAATTCTTCTCCGCCTCTCTGTTTTTCCTCAACAGGGTATAGATTATGCCCTGACACAGATACGGTCTAAAATCCCTTGGCTCTTCCTTCACCAACTCCTCATATACCTTCAATGCCTCGTCATAATCCCCCTCAATGACCCGGATTTGTGCAAACAAAAGTTTGAAATCCCTCAAATCACTCTTCTTATTCTCATTCTTACACAATTTCATAGCCTCCTCCACCTTCTTCTTGATTTTCTCCAATTCCTCGCCTGACTCCTCCCGAGAAGCTGCTGTTACCAGACCATGATACGCCTCCACACGAAAAGGATCAATTGTCAGCAGCTCATTAAACCCCCTTCTCGCCAATTCAATCTCTTCGTTGTAAGCATGCAAATGCGATTTCAACAATGGCCACTCATGTTCCTCTGGCTCAAGCTCTATTAACTTGTCAAGAATGCCAATAGCTTCAGGAATCTTCTTACTCTTTATTTTAATTTCCATTAAATTCTTAAGTGCGTTAACATCACGTGGATTAGAATTCAGTTCATCCTCGAGTGATTTCTCTCTTTCTTCGTCCGTAAACGCATCATTGGCGGCCGTCTCAACAGTGGGCGGAGGTGAAACAGCCAAAGCAATAGCGGGTTTCAAACTGAAACAAAAACCCAAGAAAAAGAGAACAGCAGCAGTAACAGTAGTAATTAGCCCAGTTTTGAGCAAGGACAAGACGGGACTAAACGATTTTCGAGAAGTAGGGTTCACAGAATAAAAGAAAAATGCTTCAAAATGTGAGGGTGTATTAAAGTTTTCAGGTTTTGGGTTTCTAAATGCGACTGAAGGTGAAGAGGAGACGGCGTCTTTTATAGATAATAGCGGGGGGACTGTAGGTGGGTTTCTGAAAGAGAGTGTTCTAGAGAAAAATGGACGGTGGGGATGGAGTGAGGGAATAAGCGGTAGGTAGCCGCGGGTGGTTTTACCGGCCGTAGAGTTCAGAGAGACCATAATTGGGGATTTTAGGGAGAATAAAACCCTAGTGGGAGAGAGAGAGCTCCTGGTGATAATGATGCAGGGGTTCTTTTAAGATTGCCTTTGTCAAATATGTCATTTTTTTATTTTACCCAAAAGTTTTTGTCATTCGCCACAATAGTTTTTCAAATCTTAAAAAATGAAATTAACCTTAAAATGTTATACAAATTACAAAAAAATGATATTATTTAAAAGACAATAATATCATTTTTAAGTTATAAAGGATTTCAAATACTTCCCACTTAAAATTTCAAAACCAATTTACTTTCTTTATCTGTTTACTCCAACACAGATAAAAATAATTTTATTTATCATCTACTTCAAATTTGAAAACAGATAAATTTATCAAAAGCTCAATAAGGAAATATTATTTACAGTCATCAGTGAAATCGATAAGTATAT